ATCTGATCTATCTGATATGTGTCCCGTCTCTGTAACAAGAGACTGTAAAACATTGTAACCGTTTGTCTGCCATTGTTACTCATCTGTTTCTGACTCAACATAAATCTGTTTGGTCTGACTGTAAGTAAGGCAATCAGCCAATCAGACAGTTTAGCATGCCGTTAAGAATCTGTCTACCAGTGTAAAAGGAACAATAGTCATAGCAGGGGCCAGATGCTAACAAATGCAATGTAGTATTACCATTTACTCAGTTTGCATGAATGATTCACACTGCATCACTGCTTTGTCAAGAGATTACTCTTATCAATAAAGCAATTGTCATTTCCTTTAAAGAGTCAAATTACAAAAATCTTATTTTCTTACCCTTTTTAAGCCCAGAATCCTCGGCCTCAGTGAAAGGCAAGATCTACCTATTGAAGTATGAATAGAAAAAGACAGCCAGAGGCATCTAGCCATGCACATAGTTGTGGTGTTATTTGTCCTGGTTTGAAGATATTTGTCTCTGATATCTCTTCCACCAACCCCAATACAATAGAGATTAGGGAATTTAGTTTGTGGTTTTAATAATCATAATCAATAATTGTTCCTACCTAATTTTATTTGATCTAGTTTAATGTTGTATTGTGTATACTTATACAACATTATATTGAAGTCAATAAACAAGCTCACAAACTAAGAAACTTCCAGAAAAATCTGCTCTGGATAAGTCACAGACCTTGGTGTAAGTAGTCCTTAGTTCACTGTAGATTACCCAGAGTAATATGGGCACTGCTTTTATGTAAAAATGATAAGTTATGTGTTTCTTGGCCAGGAGTCATTGCTGGTTGCCTGGCAACCATTCAGTGACAATAAGACTCCACATTTACAATTGAAATAAACAATGATTGAAATGTTGGCAAGACAGTGAATACACTTATTTCCAAATATGCTGAACTACTCCTTTAAACTCTTCTCTTTCTTTCGTGTACAAATTACATTACTTTTGCTGAATCAGTAAAAGTTGTATAGATTAATCTTCATCATCAGTTTTCAAGAGTTGCTAAACATTTTTTTTTTTCCTTTTCCTGTTTGGGCATCTTCATTTAAAGACAAAGTTTTGACAGCCTGTTTCTTTTTCACCTTGGGTCTGTCTGCAAACCCCTTCAGTGCTCCTCTGTTTTCTCTTTTCCGCTGCTCTCCTCTCCCCTGAGATAAGGACCACTCATATTTCCAGTCAAGGACAGCTGATACAAAACCGTGGGTGATGTTGGTGATTCAAAAACCACATCAAACTTCCAGTACTGGTCACTACTTGGCCCAATGAGGGAGGGCGTCCCACATCTGCCCGGGGTGTTTTTCTGTTTTCCCAATACAGCTGGGGCCTCCACTTTAGCTTCACTTTCTCTGCAGCCAGAAAAACATAAAAGGAACATGAAAAGCCAATGCTACCAGACTGCAGCAATTACAACAAAGTGAGTACATAAATGACCAGCAGATGAGTCACAAAGTAACAGAGCTCCCAACAGTGATCCAAAGTGGTGCAGAGACAAGGGAGCAGGTGAAGGAAATTTGGAAATCAAGCTGTTTTGGAAATACGAGGCAAAGGCTTTGACTTTGCCAAGCCAATTGTATAAACGTCCGGTTATCATAAAGCTTTTTCCGAGCTTTCATTAGTTTCAAGTTGCGCAAGGCCATGTAAATAATTTCTTCTGCTAATTTTCAGAGGAGCTGCATCAGTTTATGGTTGTTTGTGCATGTAAGGATTATCCTGATGTCGATTGCTCAGTAATATACACCATCAACATCACTATAAACATGCATGCCACTTTTGTTTATAGAAATATATGATACCCCTCTTTTTTCAGTTGCTCAACAACTTATGACTTAATATTATCTTTACGACAATTTTTGAGTAGAGATTTCACCTCATGTGAAGACCACAACGTCCCCCTGCCAAGCTGCTGAAATTCTTTGGTAATGATGCACATTGAAATATAATGTGACACATTCATCCAATGACATTACTCGAGTTTCAGAGTGAGCATATGTGGTCTCCAGGCAATCACACATGAGTTCACTTGAAGGGAACCACTGTTTTGAGATGGACCCAAGACCGCTTTCGTTCCAAAACAGACGTCAGATTGTACAAAATGTACCAAAGTCTTTAATTGTTTATTGAACTGGCAATCTAACAAGGATGTCTACTTTATGCAGTGACTGGCCAGGTGTTTTGAGGTGTGAGGGTTTGAAATAACTATTTTTTTCCCCTTTTTCACTGCACTATTTCTATTATATCTGTCTGAAAATGTGAAAGTGTGTGCCATTGTTCCCATTTGTATTAATAATTGTATCAAGACAACAAAGATCCTCAATAGACGTTTCGAGCATACTGAACCCTTTAGAATCCAGACTCTAGAGAAAGTCTCTTATCTCAGAGTTAAATAGTGTTCAAGAATCCGTCACACATTTCCATGTGGTTATCATAGTGATGCACTGTAACCAAAGGTATTTTCTGGAAACTGCACTCAACCAACACAGAACTACTCCGGACCTGCTCATGGTCAGTATGCATGATGAAAGAAAGCCGTACTTTGACTTTAATCTCCTTCATTGTAATGTAATAGCCTATCTAAAAAGAGTGTAAGGAGTTGCACGCAGTTGCCTGCTGACCCTGAGGGTACAGACTTTCTGAATAAGAAAGGCAAAATCCATCCATCCATCCATCCATCCTGCTTATCCTTTAGAGGGTGGTGGGGTCTTGGAACCAATCCCAACTGACATTGGGTGAGAGGCGCGGTACAAGCTGGACAGGTCGCCAGTCAATCACAAGAAAAAAACCTGTGCAGGCAAAGGGAGAACATGCTAACTCCACACATAAAGGCCCCAGCTGGCAGGTTCAAACCCAGAACCTTTTTGCTGTGAGGCAACAGTGCAAACCATTGAACCAGTGAGGTACACTCAATACAAAGACATTCTATGGAGTATAACATGATATGCTAAACATATCAATCTCAGCTTCACTGTAATGAGAGCCCCTTGTGCCTCATATGTATCACAAGATATCTGTTATAGCAGCTGTGATTGGGTTTTGAGCCTGGGCCAAAAAAATGCCTTTATGAGGTGTTTGAAATTTCAATGAAAGCGTATGCACTTCATTTGGGATCCAAAGCACAAAATCAAAGTAACGACCTTTAAAATTACACAGAAGAGCTAAAAGACAGGAAAAGTGTAGACAAACAATAACCTCAATAATGCCTTGGTGGTCTAATCCTTGCTTTTTGTTGTTGTTTTAAGTTCTGAATGCTGTTTTTTCCCACCCACAAGCCTCAAAGTTGTTCTTTCTTCCCAACAAACATTTGTCTACTGTAGCCCCCATCTGTGCAAAAACGAAATTTTCTCGGTCAGCTGGGTTTGTTTGCAGGCCTGAAACAGGTTTCGTGTGAGGACAATGTCCTCTTCAGTATTTCAAAACCAGTCAAACTGAAGGATCGCTTCCACAGAAAAGGAAGGGAGAATGCAGAAACCATATCTTCTTCATCTCACACGGTGAGGAATGCTAGCCGAGAAGAGGGAGAGAGAAGGTCTTGAGAACTGTACATGCATATAAATGAAGTGAAACACTTAAAGGTTCACTCTGGTGCACAAATGACATGTGACACCATCCCCATACCCTTTGGAAAGCCCATTTTGGAAAAACAAATCTGCCGGAGTAATGAGACTGTTAATACAAATGTAATTACTTACATAATAAACTTTTTCTATTTACACTAGAGGCCGTTTACTTGCAGTACTTCAGGCCAGATATCAATCAGTGACAGAGGGACACAAGCCCAAAGACCTAGGATAACAATCAAAAACACAACAAGAGTGACCTCTCAGTGTAAACCAACTTGGTTTTCTTGTAGCCAGAGGCAAAATCCAGAGCCCCTGGCAGGAAATCCACCGTGTGCTGTTGACATCGCAACTCATCCATGACAGACAAGGAATAACACTTTTGGAAAGGAAGAGTTTTGGAAAAAAGAAAACGGAGTCCAAGACAGACAGGCTGCTGTCACCGGAAAACATGGGTTTTTAGCATGATAATAAATCTTTCAAACAATATTCACTCAAGGAAAGAGAATGCATTAAAAACAGAGATTACACATAGTCAAAAATATGCTAGGCTCACAACAACAGAGATTCCAGCAGGGTTGAAGAAATGAACTATGTAATTTCTTTGCATTACGATGTTGATAAATTATATTTGGAATTTGTATTCAGTTTCTTCACTGAGTCCATTAAATCATACTTGCCTAAAAATGCAATTTCACAAAGTTTTGGTTGATGCTGCTGTAATCAATTTCTGTCACATGGTCTGTAAAATGTGTAATTTCATATTATTGGTCTCCGTATAGTCATTCAACAGCTGTGCTACCAACAATAAAGACCATTTTTTATTAAAACTAAATACTAAAGACATTGTAATTGGTCTCATTTAAAATGTCCCCAAGCACCTAAAGTTTATAACGTCCATAATAAAGAGTAAAATGAGCCTGTAGTTTGTCTTTGGGGGGCAGTGAGGAATAGTGGCACTAAGAATCTGGGCTTGAGCACAGCTGGTTTTAGGTTCAAGTGTAAAGCGGACTGCACTAACGAGAAAGTCACTTACTATTTGATCAACATGCAATAGGGAAAACAGGAATTACTGTAAATTTATGACCAGAGAACATTACAGGTCGTTGTTAATGGATATGTCCTTGAGCCAAATTCAATGTTGTAGAGAGATGTGGCTGGACCTACGCCTCCAACGTTTCTTTTCCTGGACAGTGTTGATTTTGGCTGGACGTCAGGTTCTGATGTTGGCTAGACACTGGGAGAGCAGACTCAGGGTGCTTCCTTCTCATTCTCACACACATTTGGATGGGAAATGTGTGTTGGCAATGTGACAGAAGTTAGTAACAGAAATCTGATCCACTGTGGAAAAAAACAGACATTTTGCAAGAAAAGGACATCAGCCAGAACTCTAAAAGCAATGCAACAGATAGTAATCATAAACTTTTATTCTGAATATACCTTATTTGCACATGAATAAACACATTTTTACTCCCCTGGATTATAAACATTGTTCTTTTTTCTTCTTGTTGAGAACAACATCCGTTTTATACAAATTTTTACATGACTGATTCTGGAGAATCAGGTTCCACTAAAGTGTGACATATTAAAGCACAATCGAGGGAGACTGACAGAGAGGCCCACCAAGACCCTTCCAAAGCGGAGTCTGGCGAGGGGTGACTTGGTGGACACTTCCATCAAGAGCCTGCCTTAAAACCAAAGGCAGAGGAAGATTGACTGACAGGCTGGCCAATCATCTGCCAAAGAGTGGCAACAAAGGTAACAGACACAAAAAACACACATTAAGCAATCCTCAAGATTCCAGAAATAAAAAGGCCAACCCACAGAATCCATACAGAGAGCACCAACAGAATCAAAAACACTTCATATCACATCGAGAGAATATTATTCCTGAGGTGACAGCATCTGATTTTAGCACTTAAGAGTAGAATGGAACATCTGGACGAGTATGGAGCTCATGTTCATTCTCCAGTGTTTTCTGTGCATTTCTAAAAGGATCCATTTGGAGCATTTTAGGTGGTGTGAATTTCCATTTCACGGTTTCATCAGTCCAATGTATGTCTTTGCACGAAATGACTTAAAAGGACCATACCAGTGTTTTTGCTAGTTCAGCCTCTTAACTAAAATTCCATTACTTTCCAGGCAGCCATTGGTTTCCATTCATTTCTGTACAGCTTAGAAATCAATTATTTACTCTTCAAACCTGCAACGAGAATCTGCAATTTGATTTATATACTGTATGCAAATGAATCGTAACAAATGCCTGCCTGGAAGTAGGAAAAGCACACAAACAAGACTAGAGTCTACGGACAGGCTAGCAGCTGCGTGGCTGCTAAGCTGATGTTTACCATGTTCCCAATGTTAGTTTAGTGTGATAGACAGCTAACATTCCTTTTTTTAGCACTAAACAAAAAGCACAGCTGAGGCTAATGGTAATGTCATTAGCTTTGAGGGTATTTAGACACATTGAAGTTTTAGCCTGATGGGGGCACTGGATGAAAAGTGCAATCAGTGCAATAGCTGTTGAAACATTTTACTCAAAGCCACAAATGAGAAGCTTATGGTGGCACTAGAGTAAAAATCAGGGGGAAAAAGTAATCAAGATCCATCATCTCGGAACAATGGATGTCTGCACAAAATTTCAAAACAATCGATCCAATTGCTGTTGAGATATTTTAGTCGGGACCCAAGTGGTGGACCAACATTAGCAATGAATATGTGAAACACTTCCACATGGTTTGCAAAATAATGAGCAGTAATGTAAGGTATTTAGGATTTGTAGTAACTGGTCTGACACCAGCTAAATTACTGGTATGGTCCTAGTAACTAGTAGTGAATCATACGTGGCGTGAACCAATCAGACAGATAGTGCATTCAAACATCACGCTGGCCAATCAGGTTCCCTTTCCCCAGCTGACTCAGACCAGGATGGAGCCAAATGCTGTCCCCCCAAGAGAAAGGCAGTAATAGCTGATCATACCTTATCATATCATAAACAAATGCCTGACATCCAGAATATTATGCTTCCCAACATTACACACTAAAGCAGGAGCACACTGGATATGTTTTTTTTTTTTTTTTTTAATCAAATTGTCAGCCACTACCATGCAGCACAGGGAAACAATTTATGAGACTTACATCTTACCTTGGTAAATTGCATAAATGTTATATTACGATAATAGGTTTCTCCACAAGAGAATAAGAGAGTCCTATATGGCACTTGATATTCTTGAGTGTTAGTATGTGAGGAGCATAAATACCATTGTTAGTTTCACCACATTGTTTTTGTTGGAAGGTTATAGTTTAAGATAGAGGAAAACATTGATAGAAAAAAGTGCACCTCACACCAGTGGAAAGATGATGGTGGTGGTGGAGCTTTGCCACAAAATGAGATGGACAAACAAACACTCCTTGATTTGACTTGGAGGAATGCTTATAATATAAAACCTGACATTGTTGTATGATGTCACAATAATTATTTATCTAAAATTCGGAAGAGGGTGAGACAAATGTTAGTGGCAATGTGGTGCACACAGCTTAGTTTCTGTGGTTTTCACTCCCCCACAGAATTAAGTAGTTTCCTGCAAACATGCGTCAGTGTTTATAGATCAGACTCTTATAAAAAGATCCACTCCCTGGTTTTGTTTTCATTGGTGTACATAATGTCCCCCAAAATCCCCAAATTACTTCCTCTGTTGTTTTGAATCTGAAATTTAAAATGTTAAAGGGAAATTTGGGGGTTTGGGGTAAAACCATGGAGTGCATCTTTGAAGTATTACTTAACAGTTGTAACATGAAGGTTCATTTAGGTTTCTGTCTTTTTTTTATTTTAACCTGTGATTGTCAATTCTTGCCTGGAACCAACTGTAGAATTACTCATCGACAGCAGTGACAAACAAACCATCAAGTGCAGCTGGTTTAAGTAAAAATGACATTTTTGTATTAAGGTTTTAAAGCTTATTTTTACAACAATTACAGACAAGCTTCCTGCCTGACATATTATTTCCTGCCTAATTGAATTTATGTCTTTTTAGTTCTCAATATTGTGTAAATATATTAATTAACCGCAACAAAACATCATGTCCTTTTCTACATATTGCATCTTTGGGATGGATTCATATTTTTGAAATGAATAAAGTGAGTTATTTACTCTTATCCTTGCTGATAGTTAATTAATCATTTATTATAATTTGTTCCATATTAATATTTAGCAGCGTTAATAGTCTGGATTTGGTCCTGTAAAATGTGTTATTATTTATTATTTTGGCAGATTTCTTTTCCTCTGCAGCAGTGGTTTGGCTGATTCGAGCATTTGTTAATAAATCTGAACTGCTCTGTGCTCTGGCAAACAAGATTACACTATTTGAATTAAACCATCTACAGTAAATCATCATCATCATCACACTTAAGTTAGGGTGTTTTGTAAATACATCTAATGGAAAAGAAGGCACACAAAATGAAACAAGATCAACTTATATTGGAGACAATGAAATACAGCAGTAGACAGGATCATAAGAATGGACTGACTGAAGTGGTTTCTGCTGGGTGATATCATACCACAGTATAATAAACTGCAAGAGGGAACCTCACTACTACAAAGAGACAGAGGTTCCACTTCTGTCAGGAGATCAATCCGTAAAGACAAATAACAGCTGCACTTTGAATTGCAGTGCAGATAGTAGTCATTTAATTTACAAAGTGACAGCAGCGAATACAAATGTACTGTGTTCCTGTTTTTCCTGACCAAAATGTCAATTAAAATTCTGATACCTCCCTCGTTCCTTTTCTTTAGTGGTGGCAATAAAACATAGAGTAGCATGCTAGCCACAGTCTACAAAGCTAAAGGGTTCAGCTGACTCACACAGTCCACATGGCACTAGAGATTTTGTCCAATGAGCATGCATAGGACACCAGCCAGGCTCATCCTGACTAGTTAATGCGCACTATGGCAACAAAGTTTTCATTGGAGCAATCCAACACCAAGGTGGGAAATCCAGATAATTGACCACTCTTGATCAGGGCTGATGGTTAGATGATCAGCTACAAAGTTAAAATCCGTACACTCAGAAGCAGGCGCTCTGTGGCAGTTGAAGTGTTGGTGTCTATGCATAAACATAACAATGAACATGATTTCCACACTGCAAATACAGTATCTACATGAAAGAACACCAGGGTGAAAGTAAAGACAATGCATCTTGTGAACCCTCAGAGATACTGCAACATTATTATCAGCAACCCAACAAAGGCAAATGAAGGGCATAAGCTTGTAATGTAACAATTTGGCGTCTGTTACTGCAATCTTAGCCGAATTCTCAACCACAAAACAATAAATACCTATAACTAGCCACTGCAAATCGATTCAAAATAATATACGCTTGCAAAGGGCAGCGCTGTTTCTGGCAGTGGTGAATAAAACTGCTCAACATTTAAATAAACAGAAAGTCCCCCCCATTGTGATTTAAATCCCTCTGACACTATAAGGCAGTCCGATATCTTTCATCAATGACATCAAGCCAGAAAAAGTCGCCAATCAAAATTATTCTCTGGATTCCTTTAATCTCAGATGGCGGGAACCATTGACGGGATGAAGGATAGGCATAGGTCGAGTTCTTTCTCATCTTTCAAACCGATTTCTTCCATTACACACTTCTTTCATAACTTGTACCCTTGCACCTGGTGAAATCACTTAGAGAAACCCCTGAAAAGGAACGTATCAAAAGAAGAAACGGGCAGGACGTAGGGCTCACAGGTTTTTGTTTGTTTGTTACAAGCGCTTCTCATCAGGCGTTTGTCATTTCGGTGGCAGCATTGCATGCTGGTTGCCATTTTGGACATATCGGAGGGAGAGAGAAGGACAGACGATGTGATCATGATGTTTAGAGGTCATGATGGGATGGCATGGTGTCTGGAGCCAGTCAAAACCCAGAGGAGCACTAGCTGAAGTGCCACCATTAGCCAAAGTGAGGGGCTCAGGCTGGACACCCCGCCACAGTCAGGGTCCTGCTCCTGGTGTCAAGCAGAGAGGAAAAGAACAGAAGTTAGTGATTGTTAAAGCCAACACATTAAACACTTTTCAATTGACCATTCACTAAACCCCTTCCCTGAACAGCAATTGTCCAATCATAGCTTAACAACCATAACTTGGCACGGCAAACCTGTCAAGCTTTGTACCAGTGTGCATGGAGCGATACTTACTATATGTAAGAAATTGATGTCTTTGTCTCTTTAACATAAGCTGCAATCATTAACATGCCCGGCTAACTGACCACATTAGTTTTTGTGGTTATGGGTTACATCAAAAAGCCCCATTAATGACTAGCACATCCATAGTACAGAATTCAGTCCAGGAAGCTATCAGAGTTTAGGCTAGTGTCCTGCTCTACTGGATTTCAGCAGTTTTCAACCAAGCAAACCCTGCAAAAGCTTTTTCTCTTATTACTTTAAAAGTACCATAACATACCAAACAGTGTAGTGTTAAAAGGAAATAACACTCAAACTGCAATACAGTTGTTTATTTTATGTCTGTTAAATTTTTGATTGTTTATTTTATGTCTTGTTGATTGTTTATTTATGTCTGTTAAATTGTTGATTGTTTACTTGTCTTTTCTATTTATAGAAAATGTATTGTTTATTGCCTGTTGCACCGTGGGTCCTAGAGGACTGAAATTTCATCTGTGCTGTATGTCGTGCATATAGCATATTTGACAATAAAGCTGACTTGACTACAAAAGCTATGCTTTTTCTTTATTTTCATGCACTTAACATGGATTATGGACCGACGGGAATGCAAATTTTTTGCCTGACACAAGTAGATTAGCTTTAGTCTTAGTCTCTGATCATTATTTTATGTATAAAGTTATCAAATGCATATTTAAGACACTTTAACAGTTGTAACATGAAGGTTCTTTTAGGTTTCTTTTTTTTAGCTTTAGTTAGCTGGAAACATTAAAAAGTTAGTCGAAGCTAAATCTGCCATCTTTATCATTGTAAACTACCTATGTGCTGTGCAACAACTGAAAGCTTGACAGGTGTAGCAAGTTAGCAACTCTAACTAAAGGTGGGGCTTTGCAAGCGGTTGACTTGCTACTACTATTATTACTACTACTACTACTACTACTACTACTACTACTACTACTACAGGGACCAAACAAGAGGTCAGAAAATATAATAAAGCTTCAAAATGTCTTTTTTAAACTTGACTGGAAAACTTTGAGCCATTACATCTGATTGAATACTCGAACTCTCAGTATGTTTAGCATCTGGAGAGGTAAAAGGGAAAGAACGTCTTGCCTTGATTTGTTTTTGGAGTGAAAAAAAGTTGAGAATCATTAAAAGAGACGTACAAACGTCTGGATGCAAATGAGAAGTGAGTGGTCTGTTTTAGCTAACGTCTGGATACATCAGTAATCAGATGTCAGCAGAAATAGACACCAGAGTCTATTGCCTAAGACGGATAATGATAGATGGGGAAAGATACAAAGAGCATGGCTTAAAGTTCAAAGTCAGGTGAGACGGAGAAAATGTTGGCGAGAGATGGAAGGAGACTGGGAGGTAAGTTGGGGGGAGGTGAAGACAGATGGTGGTAGAACATAAGAAAGAGTGACAGGTGAGAAAGATAAGGGTAGGAAAACAATCAAAAAAGACATGAAGTAGTGGAACAAAGCAGAAGCAAAAAAGACGTGTGGAGATAAGGTGAGAAAAACAAACAGAGAACAGAAATATCAGGAGAAAGTGTGCAACAGTTAATGAGCCAAATACAGTGAGATTGAGTGTAAGATTATGATATATTGTTAATGAAAGAGAAAGAGCTAGCGTTATGGGACTGACCCGAGATAGCACATGAACAGTGGCAGCAGTAACATGAGCAGAGAGGAAGCCAATGGGGAGCCTGCGCTCCTTCGGCACATGGCCTCATCCTAACCATCAACAGCCAATCACAGAGCAGGAAACAGAGAAAAACAGAGAGAAAGAGAATCATGCAGCAAAAGGTCCACATACTGTAGTTAGAAAGAGGTTAGAAAGCAAATATGAGCAGAAAAGGCAAGAAAATTAGTTTAGACAATAGTAGTACGAGACAGATGCATTCACTTGAGAGACAAGAGTCTGAGAGAAAGAGTTAGTGTGTGTGGGTGGACATTTGTGTGTATGCGAGTGAGCAAGACAGTGCAGGCGTAAGAGTTAATTCATAAGACCGACCAACTTTGACACTGGAAAAAGACTATAGAGTGAAAACAAACAGAGCATTCAAGCACAGAGGTTTCACACGCAGAGATTCTGTGCTGCATATAAAAATGTTTGTTTAGCTTAGTTATTCATAGTCGAGCGACAACCAAGTGTTTTTCTTTGCGTGGGAAATCTGCACACATACAGCGTCAGAGGCATTGCAAAAACACGAAAAAGAAATGACATGCACCATGTAAAGATATTAGTGGTGGAAAGGTGCAGTGGATAGGATTTCTTCACTGATATATTGTTTCCATATCAAGAGTACAGTTTAAAGGATTTGGGGCTCCGGCCAGTGAGGCTAAAAGCTTAACTTTTTAAAAACGCTGACTGAAATCCTTCCTTTATTTTTTATTGGTCCCTAATACGTTTCTGTTGCTACCTCTTATTTTCCAGGTGAAATGTCAAAACAGATCAAGTTGTTTCATCTGGAGTATACATTTGGAAGGAATAATATATATATAAAAAAAAAGATGTGAAAAAATACTCTAATAACAGGCACTTTGTGGGTGGTTGATACAAACTAACATTCATGCTGAAGTAAATTATCAAATTAACCTTGATAATATGAAATGTAATGATAAAATGTGTAAATACTTCATAGGACAATATTTCCTTCATTCATGGTAGCAAATTTATGATTTGTTTGTCCTGATTTATTACAGTCTGGTCACTGGTTTTTGTAGATATTCTCAGTTTAAAGCTACTCTAATCAATATTGTTTGGATCAAATGACTACGTGTAATGTGAAAGGGGTCGACTGTAGTGACAAACCCACAGAGAATCTTCACCCGACTCTGCACTTCCACTCAGCTTTACAGAGCATTTCAGCAACTTTCAGCTCATTGTTTTGGTTTTTACGGCCCGCAACTTTACTGTTTTGGTTCACTGCTCTCATCAATCCTGTTTTCAGCAGCAGCAGGCATCTGTTTTTACTGAAAAAAAGGCTCTGATAAACCCACTGTATGCTATCCGCCCAGCAACAAACAGCAGACAGTCAAAGTTAACGACTGGTGAACAGTGTAGGATTTACCAGCTAAGGAGCAATACTTCCCTCAGAAGTTAATGAAAACCAAAACAGAGATAAAAGGAGAGTGAATATATGACTCCCATTTGTCAGGTGGCCAGATCCACAAAGCTAATGCTAATTTATGTGTAAATAGTCACCATTTGCTGAAGACTTAACCATAACTAGTTCAGAAGTCAGTGTTCTTAAAAGTAAAAAAAAAAAATACATGAACTATCAATCAATACAGCTTTAATAATATCAGATTCAGACAATCCTTTTCATTGAGAATTACGTAATTTTACATCTTTTATTGTCCAGCCCTACCTCAGTGTATTCAAAAACATATGTTAGGTTTAGACCTACAGATGATTAATTACTGTTTTATTGTAAGCACTGAGTAAGACTCTGTCCTGCAAGCTGTAACTAGGCCTTAATTTTCCTTGGCGACAAACTTAAATGATTTCAGCCTCGGGGCACACACTTTAATTTTAAAGGCTTTTCTGATTTCAGGCTGGATTTTCTGCAAACTTCTTTAATTCCTATGAGACCTATAAAGCAGCAACGATACATGAAACCGTACACAGAGCACCCTTAGCAAGAACATTTCAAGTTCAAATTGTTCTCAACCAGAAGCAGTCCAGGTCTGATGAAATAAACTTACGTTTTCAGTGCTATCAAAACAGACTGCGGGCCCTTTCCTGTACCGAGGATTGTGAGCCAGTTCGCAGGGATCAGGACCATCAGCTGCATGAGTAAAGTCAGGAACATGACACAGTTTCTGAGTGATTCTGAGTAAGTAATAGCAGCAAGAAATAGCCTCTTTTCAGTAGACTCTTGTAACTACTTACCCCATGGTAACTTATTAAACACAACATTCTGATTAATGTGGAAAATAACCAGGATATATTACTGTTCAAATCAAGCAGATCCAGTGAAGTTGTGTAAGCACTATTAAAACTTTAAGCAAGTTGTCTATTTTCAGATTTCAAGCACATTGCTCCATTCCTCAATAATATAGCAATTATTTTCAGGCATTGTGTTTTCCAAGGAGCTTAATCTATAATTGACCACAGCCCTCTGTGTTTGAGAGAACATCATAGGTTTGTTTGTAAGCTACTCAGACTTATTCCACACTACCATCTGCCTTACAGACAGAGTGAAACCCAGTGCAGACACACCCATGAATTCTGGCCAACATTTTAAATGTCAATTACTGTGGAAATGCTTGCTTATTATTCAGATGCAAATGAGGGAAATAGTGAGTAATGAGTAGTTCCCTTTCAGCAGTCAGTGGTGAAAATACCTGCCAGTAGCTTCAGTACATCAGCGTTCATCCGCAGTTATTTTGTCAAAAACATTTTCACTGAACAAATCAAACATCTGCTCACTGAATCAAATGTTCATGTTCTATGCCAGATGACAGCTGTGTTAGGTAAAAGGATACACTGCTGTTCATCCTGTATTAACAGCTTGGTGTCACAGGACGAGCAGGTGAGTTTTGCATCAGCAATGATAAAGACCAGGTTCGTCTTGGGCAGCTTTTCAGCATGGTAGATCCTGGAGAGGAGCAGACACACAAGAGACACAAGAGAAGTTGCTGACACATGGGCGAGAGTCCAGGAAAGATGGAGATAAAATTTCACTGAGAAGTTGAACATTTAACCAGAAAGCAATGAAAGGAAGACACTGATTTTAGTCTGCTGCTTTATAGAACTTGAATTATTCCTGGAAACCTTGTAATCTTTAACACAATGAAAAGCACCCTGTGGATGGCTCAATCAAGTCTCCTAACTGCTTTTATTCCTGAGGGGACACAAACCTGCCGTGTCACCCCACCTCCAGGACCTTTACTGAAACCCACATGTCGCTGGTGCACAAATGATTTTCTCTGCTTTTTTTATGGTGGTCGTTAAAAGGAAACGTGTGTGCGGCTAATGTGCAGGAGCGCTGCGCGGCATGCAGGCAGGCACTCCATTAGCCGGCACGAGGGAGCCTTAAAATGGGTGCGTACACCCACACACACACACACACGAACATGCCAAGACGGTGGTCCACACTAGTGAATTGACTTCACCTTCATGGCATGTGAATTTTTACAGCCCTCTCTTGGTGCCACCTCTGGGGACTTCATTTGTGTCTCATGGTTAAAAAACGAATCACTGCAAGTCAGGGTAAGTTTTTGGACCTTAACTATACTCTGTGAGCATGTATATAGACTATATGCCTGGTGAGGAGGAATGGATCTTTTCACCTGGTGCAGTTTTCACAGTCGATATTGCCTCTGAAAGATGGGTTGTTGGTCTCAAAGTAGTACTGAGTTTGCTCTGTGATGCAGACCTCTTTAAGCATGGCATCTGATAGCTCATCATCCATCTCGGCTGCGGAAGGACACACAAGAACATTCAGGTGTATTCATGTGAACAGACATGAGACTCAAACATGAAAAACAAAGTGTAACATTGTTAATATTAAGTTATGACCACTTTGGGCATCTGTTGACTTTAATAGCCACTACAATGAGAAAACCATGCTACTCCATTGTAAATGTAGAATGCACTAAGCTTGAGCTGGCTGTCTGGCTCCTACTGTATATCCAGGTGCACAAGATGATTTCTCTTTTGGGGGCTCTTGGGACTTTATGGTGCTTAAAAATCACATACCGTGAATCCCTTTTGTATATGCAAAAAAAAAGTGCAATGGACAAACAACATGAAGAAACAACAGAGTGAGCAGATGAACAAACCCATGGTCATACAGTGTCTGCATCGTAGGTGCTTCTTCTTTCCACACTTTAAATTATTTAACTGACTTTAACTTTTAAAATGACACAAAGCGACCATTTCAAAAAGGCAGCAACATGTATTGAAGTGGTGCAAGAAATCTCAGAGGGAGATATTTCAAAACCCGGAGAAATTAAACCCAGGTTTAATCCGCACAGTTTGATACCAGTAAGTACGTCAGAAAATTTGTTTTTTCATAATTTAGAGAAGCTGATCCCTTAACAAGTATCATCTTCATCACATGGCATATAAAACTGTAAACAAAGAGACTTGTTATTTTGTTTTGGATCTGTTCGTAATCTGTATTTTTCGAATAGCACATTTTTTATCGCACACAAGCATACAACTTCACATTTGCACGGTCTACGTCAGACGAGCAACATCTTGTACACAGGAAATCCGCTGACAATGAATGATCATTCAACTGTTCCTATGAACAAAATTGTGACTAACTACATATTCTTGGCATGTGGTGAGTATTGCACTAGAATTTCAAGATAAACAAAAAGCTGGAAAACAGTGTGTTCAGTATCCTTTAAGGCCTTAATATAATAATAATATAATAATAAGCTCTATTGCTATCGTGTTTCCGTAATGAGGCTATTTGGGCTGTCCAGAGGTAGCTCAATATTGTGACAAACCTTAAAGCACTATTATTTTCTCTGTGTCAAATTGAGGGGGACTCACCTGCATCCAGGAAATTGGGGAATGTGACGCTGACCAGTAATTGTTGCAGTATTGACCTAAGAGCAAAAACAAAGGATGAAAAATGTCTGGATTCATTGGAACATAATCTACAATAAACAATTAAATGCCAATGTGTCAATTAATCAAGATAAGATTTTGTGGAAAGTTGACTGTCCTGGGAACAATTTAGCTATTAAACAGACACTATATGTCTGTTTTGGAGGAACAAATCCTTGCCTGCTTTCCATTAGGATGGAGTTTAAGGATTTAAAATACTGGCTTTTATAGTGTATATTTTTGTTATTAATCATCTGAAAAAACACTAACCACATTAGAAAGAGTTCACAAAAAAAGGACTCACCAGGCGGCAGCTGTCGCCCACCATCCTAAATTCAAAATATCTGCAATTGTGGGCTGAGAGGGACAAACAAAATGAGAATTAATATCAGAAAAGGACTTTAATAATCTTCTGACAAATCATTTTAAGCCTGTTGAGCCACTCTGAACATCCTGCTTGTGTTTACAGTGGCTGCAGACAGTCCAGTTCTGCTAGGCACAAAGACCAAAGGTCCAGCCAGAGATTTTATTTTCTTCCCTCTCAAAGGAAATTAGAACACAATCCTCCTCAACAGATGCGGGCATAAATATGTAAACAAAGAGCCAGTGAGAAAACAAAGCAGCACACGGTTTGAATCAAAGACCCAACATGCTGCTTTGATTATGGTTAGCATGCGAGGGCCTTGTTTTGGTGAATCACTGCTGTATTCTTTCTCTGCACTTGATGTCGTGTTGAGTCATCAAGGAGTCTTAACTAACCGTGTCAGAGGCATCACCATCTATTGACGGCATCTTTGATCAGAAGATGTCTGTACCTTTCATCTCACCTTGGTCACTCAAGTGTGATGTACACATTTGTCGGAAATTACATGGTTTCAATTGTTTTCTGGAGAGTGGAATTTTTGCATCTGTAAATACCAACGAATAATTGAATCTCTATCTGCTTTTTACCTCTGCTCACCGCTACCTGTAATGACCTTTCAGCATCTAAGAGAAAATCATTCGTAACACTGAGATGTCAGCGGACATGTTTGCGTCATTTCACTGTGAGTTATGTGTTTTGTAAGTGATGAAAAACAGTGCCTCTTTCTACATCACTTGGTGTGTTAGCCAAGCACACTAGACCACCTAATCCTGTTACTGTTACTGCAACTCCCACTCTAACGCTTTCACCATACCCTCTGCTTCCCTTCTCATCTGCTCTATCCAGATTTATGGCTCCCTGGTGAGTGAAGGTTTGTGTGTGTGCATGTGTGTGACCATTTGGAGCAAGCAGGTATGGCTACGAATGGCTGCATGTGTACTTGCATGTGTCCGTGTGTTCATGCAGGGAAATGAGTAAATGTATATGTATGGAAATCAAAATGTGTGAACATGTAAGTGTGGGTGTGCACATATGGGTGGCGCACCGTGTGTGTGTGAGTGTGGTAGGTTGTGTGTGAATGGTCTCTGGCTTATGTAACTCACCACGTAGACGGATCGCAGGCCTGCAGCCGCCTTGCTCTCTTTCTTGGGGTCACAGAGCGACTGGTAGTCGAAGGTCTTCTTAAAGGTGAACAGGGATGAGTTGACCAGATTTTTCATGAGGATCGGGTCAATAACTCCAAAGAAACGCCCAATCTAAGGACAGGGAGGAGGTAATAAAAATTTGCGCCATACAGCCAGCAAAGATTCCAGGTCCAAATAACTGCTCTAGGCTAAGAAATAGTCCAGCACATAATCCTGTGTATTTTCATTTTCACCCTTGGTTAAGTTTAAGAGCCGTTACCAATAATGTTACACTGGTCAGAGCCCTGCTAGCTTTTTCCGGTATTGATGCTAAGCTAACTGGATGTTTGGGAAAGCCTCATATGTATTGTACAGACATCATCATCATCTAATTCATGTCACTAAAGCAAATAATGTATTTCCGAAAAATTTCAAACTATTCCTTAAAGATGAGATTTTTTTAATGACCAAAAGCATAGTTTTATATATAGAGCATTGCTTGCAGTAGATGCAAGCATACAGATAAACATACCAGACTTCATGAACACACATCAGTGTACGCAGTCCCAGAAATGTTTGAACCCTCTGCATGAGTAAAGTACCTTTAAATTGCACATTATAGAATGTAAATGTTACTGACTGAGGGTTTCATTTACAGAGCACTTAAACACGTTTATACTGTCAACTCAAGATTGTTAAATCTATGTAAAACACATGCACAAAAACAGTCAATGAGTATACATGTGAAGAAAATGAAATTCACAGTGAATTTACAGACGCACGCACACACACCACACACTCAGTAAATCTCCCTCAAACCAGGATGATGGACTTCAGTATAATCTGATTAACACAGTCCACCAGGCAGCCATAAATTCCTACTAAGAGGAAGTAGTTTGTCTCGGCATCTCAGAGGTGTGACATGACCGTGTGCATGGGAGTGTTTAAGTACTTGTGTACCCAGGAGGGAGTGTGTACAGTAAGTAGTACGCATCTATGTGTGTGTGTGTGTGCTGAAAGAAGTGCAATGTGCATGAGGAAATGCAAACTATCCCTTTTCCTTCCACTTTGTAAGGTCACCGTTAACAAGCCGTCCTCCACATATCCATTCCTCTTTAGTCTAACAGCCAAAGGATATATAAATCTTCCAATCTATAAGGTAAAGGGAGCCGTCTCTCCTTTCTCTGTGCAATAACACAAATAATGAATTAACAGTCACAGCCCTGTTGGCTGCAGACTCCCCGAGGGTTTCCGAGAAAGAAAAGGAACGAGCTGGAGAGAGAAAGACATAAAGCGGCAGAGAAAGCGAGAAGCTTACAGAGAGAGAGAAACTTTGCTCCTGTAGGAAATATGATTGAGGGCACACAGCCTTCTCCAAACACGGCCTCAGGCCCCTGGGTTTTAGTGCTGCTGCCAAACTTCAGAGGGCGACTGATTTATCCAGCGCACACCCAGCCCTGATTAGGAAGGAGTCGAGGCTGCATGAAAAAACATTTACTCAGATGACAGCAGGGGCCTGCTCTTAGCATTTAGCATAGGGCAAAGTGAAAAATTGTGTGTGCTTACTCTATATGTATTTGTGTGTGTAAAGATGGGTGAAATCAAATTGTGTTTGAGAGGCTTCATTCGTTTGGTTTTTGTTTGGGTTGTTCAGGGCAAACTGAGGCTGATTGAAGGTTCACAGCAGGTTTGGCTGATTACAGTTAAGTACTACGAAGTCAAACTGGGCCTCATTTAAGATTTTATAGAAGATTTCTGTGCATTAGGTGCTGTAAGTTCTTCATACAGAACAAATGGTATTTTGAATGCAATGGTTTATTGCATGGGGTTTGCTTTTAGTTGTCATCATGTGACATGATTACAGGTGGTAATACATGCTTTTGATCCTTCCCAGTCTGGGAGTGATAACAAACTCCATTTGCTGATGAAGATCATGAGATGCAGGTGAAAGCTCTGATAAAAGATAGTGAGTGGACCTTGAATTGGGTGTTTTTTGTTTATTAAAAAAAGTGTTTTGCCGGATTAATCCACAATGTCAAGATATTTGGAAAAACATTCAAGCATCCATGTGTGCTCTCTTCTGCACTAAGCACCAAATACACAAGTTGTAATTAACCGTAAAATAAATTCAGCTCCACTTTCTAAAATGACATCCTTTATGAAGAAGTTATAACTAATATCAATATCATCCTGTTAATGGTTAATCAATAATTTACTAATGCTTTATAGATATCAGAATGCAGAATCAGAGTTTACATGGCTTGTTCTTTAGTTTTGTGAGTGAGAGTACAATGCAAAGGCCCACCTTTGCAATATCATCATCTTGATTGGACATCACCAGGAAGCCCCCGTCATCCAGAATGACACAGTCTATATACTGGAATCACATAGAGATTAAACCAGTGTTGCATGCTCATGACTTGTATCCATAAAAAGTAGCTGAAAACGTAAAAATACGCAATTAAACATCTTACCGGATCGTTCCGTTGACAGCCACAGATCTCATCATTGCACTAAAAATACAGCAGAGCAGATAGATTAATGAAAAGTCATAGTCTGGATCAAGTGTGTGTCCTTGTGTGTATGTGTCATGCAGATATAATCCACTCACATTCATCCTCTGCGTGGTGTTGATGAAGCTCGCCATCCAGGCACTAATGTCCAACTTCACACCGACCACTGGGATCAAACACAAAAGCCAGACATCCTACATCATGTTGGACCTCTGTGTCAACTCTACTCTCTGAACTTAGAAAATGCAAACTTGGCCAAGGATCACAGGAGACCAGACAACTTGATGTGTGGTTTGTATGTGTGTGTTTGTGTGTATATGTCAGAGGGAGAGGGAAAAATAGGAGTAGTGGCCTGTAAATAGGAGACTATCTGTGTATGTGTCAGAAGATATAAAGGAATGAATAGGGTTATAGCTATAGGAGTAAATAAGACACATAGCTGTAAGTGTAAGTGTGTTTATATGTAGGTGGCAGAGTGAGAGACACAACTCAGAAAAACTGCAAATACAAGCCCCTCTCTCTCTTTGCATGTCAGTGTGTGTGTCCTTACCAGCTGGTTTGAGTGTGATATCATTAATCTCGATGTTTACTGCTCTGCTCACCAGGACTGAGTCATCACTTGCTGAAAGAAGAAAAATAAGGGAACAATTTATATATGTGCATACACATTGAGACATGTGACATACACACACAAACACACACATTTTTACTCACTGTTCTCTTTAAGGTGGGTTGGAGTGAAGATGTACAAATCATTATCCAAACTTCGCTTATAGAAACTGGACTCATACGTCTCTGCATCTTCTTCCCAGGACAGCCCAGCACTGTCAAGCACATTTATACAAAACAACACACACACACACGCAAACCCACACACACACACACACACACACACACACACACACACACACACACACACACACACACACACACACACACACACACACACACACACACACACACACACACACACACACACACACACAGACAATGCCATTATCAAAACTCAACAAGTCATTATCTCCCCTCAAGGATACCTCAAGGGCCCATTGGGTTGGTTGCACTTTCTCTTTATACGCTTCCACTTGCAATATGATGCTAAAGTATATATATATTTTTATGCAGATAATTTATGACATGTAGGAAGCCTGCAGCATCTACCAAACCACTGGTCATGGTACTGGATTGTCAATGAGAAGACAGATCCAAGCATGAAGATGAAGCTTTCTATTTACCGGTCATTCTATTTTCTAGTGTGTTTGGGCTCACTCTTTGGGGTAAGAAGTTAGGACATCCAGAGGGAGCTCGGAGACGAACCACTGCCCCTTTGCATATAAAGGAAACAATTGGGGTAGTTTCGGCACCTGATTAGGATGTCCCTTAAATGTCTCCATAGGTATTTCAGTAAAGTTCCACTAGGAGAAAACCCTAGGAGGCCCAGAACTTGCTGAAGGGATTATATATCCTTTCTGGCCAGGAAAACCCTTCAGATCTCCCAGTAGGAACTGGAAGAAGTAGCTAGGGATATAAGGATAAGGGCTTTTGGCCTTTGCTTAGCCTGCTACCACCATGACTCAGACATGAACAAGCCGCAATGGGAGTATGGATGAATTTTCAAAATGTTATTTATAGAATATAAAGCACCTTCATGGGTAAGCTGTGGCTTTCTTAGCTAACCACATCATTATTCTTTAGCAGATAATCCTGAACATATTATCTATTCCTTCCCATGCTTCTAAATCAACCCCCCTCTCGTATGAGCTTGACAAGTACCTTTTGGGGTAGACCCGTGTGATCCCTCCATCGGTGGCAACAAATCTGGCCAAGACACCATGCCTGACAAGCAGAGAAGATAAAGCTATAAAACGTACAGTTACAAAAATCTGGAATGTGCTTTATGCCTGCATGATATTTACTGGTGATGGTGAAATACTTTAGCCATCTGTATTCAGTTTTTCCACTTGGATTTTCATTACCAAATACCAAGTAACAAATAACTGATGCCACATTTCAGTTTGTTTTGCTGGATCAAAAAAATATATTGCTGGTTAGGTTTTGGTGCTTCACTTACTGCAATTCATTTTGTTTCCAAATCTTGAGGAGTTCCGTGGTGATGCCAGCATCCAGGAGCAATCGGTTCACCAGCTCCACATTACCTAAAGAGCAAAACATCACTTGAGCCTCAACATGTTAAGGTTAGGGTTAGTAATACAAATTGTGTGTCTGCTTTAAGTTTAAGTTGAGCTTGGTGATTTGAGATCTTAACATGATCAAAAATAGTAAGTAGTAAGTAAATTAACTGTCAGTTTTAAAGTGTCTCAGAGATTATGTTGTCCTTTTAGTTGTTTCAGTGCCTGAGGAGCATTAATGGCTGACAGGGGACTAATAATGTGAGGGAAAAAAACTAACAAGAAAGAAAAATAAAATAGTATGCACTAAAAATTTGGGAATATTTTAACATCACCTTTTAGGCATCCAAAACGAATTACAAATTGAGTGCAACATGGGAATAAGCTTGAGTTCATAGACTGCTAAACAAGCACCTAAAAGGTCCAAATGCAATAAAAATTGAAGGAACAAAATAGAACCAATTGGACAGACAGAGGGGATTATTTTTGACAGAGGATGGGTCTGTGAAGACAAGGCTATATCTCAAAAAAACAGAATCGAAACAGAGGATATGGTACGTGTATGTTACAATGAAACGTATTTAAATTCACAAAAACTTATAGATAAATGTGCCTGATGCTGAAGGTGTAAGTGGTGGGTTAGTAAAGGTGTAACAAATTATTTTTTGAGACATCCGACAAGACCACATGACAAACATAACAGGTGATAAAAGCCGTTCGCCCATTTTTTGGGCCGTGCCCACCCCTTTGAACTCTCCGACGACGCGCTTCAGTCCATTAAAATTGAGGCTCGTCGATATACCCCCACCACCTCCTCCAACCTTTATGACACACCACACACATCAGAGAAAACAGCTGGTGTAACACTTTATTTCCCCCCTACCCCACCTTCCCTCCTTGTGCAGTGGTTTTCATTAGGGATCCTTTATTGAAGGCAGCCCAGGAATTCCTAATGTACTTCAACTTCTTCGCCACTGCAGTGGCTTAACCAAGTAAACCGTGTAACGATACTCAAGCCACCAATAGTCCACATGGGCCATACTCCTCTCTCTCCCCCTCTGAACTCCCTATGGACTCCATAAAACCAGCAGCTAATAACGGTGAAAGTAATATTTCAATTGGATGAAAAGTTTTATTGGATTGATCATGTTGAGATGTTTGAACTAAGTTCTCAAACTCAAACCGTCAAGCAAAACTTAAAGGAGATATTTTATAAATATCCTGGGACCTTTTGTTTTACTCTCTTTGTGGGCAAAGTGAGTGATGCATATCAATGAGTGTATGCAAGAAATGGCAAGGATGTTAATGCATTGGTCAGATGTTTGGGAGAAGGTCCACTGGCCGCTGATTTGTGTTTTATTGCTCCTCTCGTGCTCCTGGCCTGACGTGTCCTGCTCTTTCTCACAAACACACAGTAATTGGATGAGGTCGAGCGGCTATAGGTGGGGTGTGGAAGGCATATTACTGGTGAATATTGTGCGTGTGCGAGCGTGTGTGTGTCACATCTAAGCCGACGTGCCTCACACATGTGCACTCAGGCGTGTGATGGTCAGACTTTTAGAGTTAGCATCAAATGAGTAACACGAACACAGGGGTTCTACATCACAAAGCTTTGCCTGGTCATGCACACCAAACAGCCAGACCTGTATTTCACTGGAAAGAGAGACCTCTGGGAATAGGTTTTGGTTGGCGCTTTTCCATTAAATTTTCAATGCACACCTTAATGCCAAGCCAGATGGCTGCAGATTCAGTCACATATACATACTATAGCAGATACTGCAAAGCTTCACAGCTCTTTGAGATGTTAATAGGTGTGAGAATGAGGTCCAATAACGTCAAGTAGAAAAGTTTTGATTTTGGAGTAGATGGCACCAGGAGCATGTTAGGTGGAAAGAGGTATTTCAGAATACTTTTCTTATTTTTTTGATACTCACACAAGGGATGGTTTGGAGTCTTTGTGTCAATGTAATTGTTGAACTCCATGAGGAACTCAGTGTTGTTTTTGTTCTTGTCAGGTGGCTTTAAGTCCTTACAGTACACTCTGTGGGAAAAATAAGAACTTTGTTGTGAAGAAATATAAGCAGAAAAAAGGGATTCACAAGGTTGAAGTTTGCCTCTGTATTGAGTTATAGTCTTATAATCTAAATCTAAAAATGTAATCCAAATAAACTACATGTCGTCTTACCTCGGTGCAATAAATGTATAGCCATATTCATCAAACTTGTCCGCCAGCAGGCTTTCAGAAACTGGTAGAAAGATATAAAGCATTATGAAATGTCTTCCCATGCAGGTTAATATTAGACAGTTTAAAATTAAACTGAAGTAACCATTGTATGCAGATAGAGCTCCACTGGGCAAAATTTAACACCTGCTGAATATTTAACAGTGCACCAATAAGAGAGTCTCCTCTGTTATTGGTGGGAGAACTCCTACAGGGACCTCTTGGCAGACTGTGCAGAAAAAAATTATCACAATTGCTCCACATATTCAACATTGCCACACATGTGTAAGGTCCTAAGTTCAAGATATTTAGTTAAAATGTAAGGTAGCTTTGTAAAGGTAGGAGTTAGGTAAGTACTCAGTACTCAGAAAGTGGGGAAATTAGGACTATAACTCACAAAACTCGACTAACTGAAGTAAAAGTTACAGAAATGTAACACTGTTAAGAATACAGTTTTTGCACAAACAGCTAAAAATCAGGTATAAACAAGAAGGAGCAGAATAGACTTGGCCAGACATGCTGGGTAAAGGACCGACGAGGCTCAAGAACAGGAGGAGAGAGATGAAAGTAAAGGAAAAAATACTTGCCATTTTTCCCTGGAGTGGAAAAAAATCCCAGCAGAGAGAAAGTGAGCGAACGAGAGAATCATCCCCCAGGGAGGAAAAGACGAGAGGGAAAAGAAAGGGAAAAAAAGGCAGGGTAAAACCACAGGGGTCAAAGGTGACACAATATTTTATTCACAGAGCGAGTCCTGAATAGAAATATTGGATTCCAAACAAAAGGTTTTAGGCCTTTGGATGTAAATGGAGACAGTGCTGATGGAGAACATAAAGAGAGGCTTAAAATGTGGTCAGGAGCTTTAAAAGTTATGATGTAGATGTGTTTTTAGCATTAGTATTAGCATTCTTTTGGTGATACAGTAAATTTGTGGAGTGACTGCACTTTAGTGATGTATTTGCATAACAATACTGCACACAGGAATGAACTGAGGAATATTAACCACAGCTCATAACCTTAACGTTCAGTTGACATTCTCCAAAGCATGTCGTGTTGACAGTTGATTATGCTGTACAGCGAAATTTCTCATGACGACATGGGCTTCTCCTTGTCCTCTTTGGTGGTCATGATTAGGAAATAATTGCACCCATGTGCTTTTTCTTTGATATTCGGTCACCACTTACTAATCCAACAAAGTATCTAGTAATGATGGATAGCAGGGAGATTTGGGGAGTGACGACGTCTTATATTCTCTGCTCTTTCGCACGACTTTTCACACTGATGATGACATTCCTGCCAGTTTTATGAATAACTGAATCAGTAAAATATCTAAGACATGCAGCTACAATCCTCCCAAAATGTGAATGGATAGGAACATGCAAGTCAAGAACCTGCATAGACTTAACAAATGCATGACAAATAGGTGCTGGAATTGGGATATGATATGTTCACTTGGGTTTTAAAATTGATATTTATATATACAGCCTCTGAAAAAATATAAAACAGACACAAATTGGGCTTCAGTTTCAGTTAAACCACAGAGCTTAAAAATGTTCCGTGGAGATGTTTGATTCAATGACCACTAACAAGACAAAAATGATGACAAAGCACACAGAAGGACAAACAGAGTATACGAAGCTTAGTGTGTTAGAGGGACCCTGTCTTTCATTAGGATTTGTTTAACAAGGCTGTAAAACTCAAAGTGAGTCAAAAAAAGAGAAAATAAAGAAAACAAAGAAAAGCACCAACTCATGTTTTGGGCGCAGACTCACAGCTTTCTCCTTTATGGCTTCACCTTTTAATAATGCAAACATCCTGTCCTTCCTTCTACAGTGGGTTAGTGCCAAAACCACATCTGAGGGCCACTGGAACAGGTGGGGGTTAAATACATGCATGCGCGCACAGACATACACACACCATCTGTGACACACTGTGTGGGCGCGCATTGCATGCGAAGCACTGCTTCTGAGAGCAGACGCCAGCTTGATTCAGTGTTAACAAAATTGTCATTATTAATCAGAAGCCACTAAATGAAAAAAAAAAAAAAAAAACACATAATGGAAACAAAATGCTTGTGTGCTTGTGAGTCGCCACATATGATGAAACAAGTTAGAAGTGGAGTTACATCCAAAGTCTGCTGGTAGTGTGAGAGGACAGGGGTTATGAGGTAAAGCACAGGAGGAGAATACTTGCCCACAAACGCTGAAGGGGGTCCAACACACCAGGAATGGTCAAGAGTTGAAGGAGGGCATGAGAACAGGAGGGGGATAAAAAGATAAGGGGAGGTAAGTGGGAATTGGAAAAGAGAGCAGTAAAGAAAAAAGAAGCCAACAGGGTTACGCAATATTTTATTCAAATTGACATTGAATAAGAATATTGTATACAAAGTACAAAACATTTAACCTGTAAGTTATAGGTGGAAGATACAAGGGATGTTTGAGGTAAATTAGGGTAAACTATGCTGTATGAATTTGTGTGTTTGTATGTATGTGTGTATTAATGACATTGTGGGGACAATGCCCATGAAGTCATCTTAGGGGGACTTCCCTTCTATTTGGGAACAAAAACTGTCTTTACTAGATTATTAATTAAGCATTAAGTTGTTGGCATTGCAGTTGCTATGGCTACAGTTAAGGTAAGGTAAGGGATTGAAAACAAGTCAATGCAATGTTCTCTCTGAAAGGGCAAATACATTTGTGTGGGTGTAGGCTCAGTTTTAACAATATAAACACGCTACCACGTGAATATGAGTGCAGCAGTGTATATACTTGTATGATTAGTGAGAAAGCCTTCATATTAAAAATGGCCCCATCACTGGGTTTCCATGTTTTAACAATAATTATAACTATTGTAAACTGTACACTTTACTTATTTTTCTTATTTTTTGAACCATTTAAGCATACATTGTTTGCTTTTCACATCAGTGTGAAAATCAACTTGCAGAAAGTTGAATTTTGTTATCTTTACATTGTCAAAGTTTTTGTTAGGGAGAGAGTGAATTACTTATAAGTAGTGGCCACATTTAGCCACAGTTAGCTTGTTAGCTTTTTGAGGGATGGTATTGACTTATCTTGACACAAATAAATAAGCTGCAAAATGACAACCAGGGCAAAAATAACCAAAAATTCTTGTTTGTGTCCTGTTCATCCACTGGTTTCATAAATTGCCATTTCAGGTGCCAAGCCAACCCTTACATGTCATTAGACATTGGAACAACCTTAAAAAGCACTACCAAGGAGAATTATGAAACTCTGAAAGACAAAACAAAGGTGCTGACATTTTCACTGTGATGGATTACCAATATCAAGCAAGCTTCATGTCTCTGGCAGTTGATCTTCACATTTTTCTGTAAAGAGTAGCCAGTTGCTGACTAAAGGTGGGAAATTATACTTAAAATGTAAGATGATATGTTTTTGAAAATGGTTGGTAATAATATAAAAACATTTTTTATTAGATACTAAACCATACGGTTGTCTAACTTGTCACCGAACCACAAAAACGTTCTTTAAAGCCCACGTTTGGCTACTGAGTGCAACTAGACAGACCAGCAAACATACAGACAACGGGACAGACACTAACCAGGGATGGCTCCATCTTAACTGCAGTGAACACACACACACACACACACACACACACACACACACACACACACACACACACACACACACACACACACACACTATAAAACTGTCCTTTGAGTAACACTATGAGTCAATGACATCTTTTACTAGTGGGAACAGACAGGGCTCAAAAGAGACATGAGACGACAACGCCACACATATGGAACCTCTGATCCACTATATAGTATCCAATAGGCTTGAGGAAGAACACACACATACAGACACTTGTAGACACACACACACACACACACACACACACACACACACACACACACACACACACAGAGTGAGGTACAGAGCAGTAAATTAATTGATGAGTACTATGTGTGTGAAAGGGGACACTGGAGCCACTCGTCCCGCTGTCTGGCAACAAAAACTTTGAACAGCACCACAACTGAGGGTGTGTGTTGCCATAGCGACACAATGGGGGAGGGCGTGCAGGGGTGGTGTAAATGTATATGGATGTGTATGTATATGAGCATGGGGCACTATAAGTGATGGATAGGAACCATAAGCTGAGGCGCAAGTGTTTCTCAGCCTTACATGGAGAGCAATAATGTCTCTGGAGAACATTAGCAGTCCAGCAACATTTGTCCACTGTCTGTATAAATGGAAGGTAATGTTACTGAGTGGAAGAACTAATGGCACAAGAGATTGAACTAATTTAGATGGCACTTACATTTTGCCTGGGTGATGGTGTCGCCGATGTTGGCCCGAATGTAATGCATGCTGTACTCAGGAAGGACGAGGGCCAGGCTGAGAGGACACACACACAAAAAAAAACATACCAAAATATCATAACAGTATTTATCTGCATTGAATATTTTATATAAACATCACTTTAAGCTTATGTTCTGCAATTATTTTGTGATTTTACCGATGTTTTTGCAAGAATTGTTGTTATACTTTTGTTTCACTGTCTTGGAGAATCAAGTAGGCATTTCATTGTCTGAGACATTAAATGCATGCACACACATCTTGCCTAACCAACCAATTCACAAGCAAAAACACACACTAAAAACATTTTCCCTCTTTGCTTTGAGAAAAAATCATAGCACCATAGCAAATCTGTCAGTAAGTCCTGTTAAGCATTTCTTAGCAGGAATTTTCCAGACAGTACACATAAGTTGTGAACACTGGCCCCTCATGGCTTCACCCAGAACACTCTAAACTGAGCCTGGACTTTATCCTTAACTTAACACCACTGTCCAGTTCCAGTCTCAATTACAACAAAATGGTTTTACGCAATGATGATAAACATTTTGCAAACTGTGTCAATGTAAAGCATTTTGACTTCCTCTCTTTCTAGACTGAGGTTTGGTAAAAAAAAAAAGTACTTAACATGCAATGGATTAATCGCTTCACAAGACATACTTAACATATGATATTTACCTGTAATCTGACCCCTTCACTGGTGCAAACGTGTACGTCCTCTGACCTAGGTCAATGTAACGCTTTGAGGGCAACAGTTTGGTCAGTACATGTTACATTTTCTAAGCAAATCTGTTTATAACTGTCATGGACTCCAACATGCTTTTATTACAAAATTACCTCATCTTGGGATTTCACCAGTGTAGATATAGTGTAATTCCCTGTTTGACCGTCGATCATTTGTTTTCTTATCTGTTGACCAAATAATCAAAAATTGATTAATTATTGAATTTGTAAAAGTAATAAAAATCAATCATGATATATTCCAAAATTACAATGCTATCGATTCTGATATGAGCTCATGGAAGTAAAAAAGTTGGGAGTAATCCATTTTGCAAACCTCCACTTTGATCTCATTCTCCAGCTCTGCATCCAGGAAGTCCAATGTTACAGGTTCATGAAACTTGGCAGTCTACACAGAAATGCAAGCAATTAGTCTGTGGTACATACCATAATTTAGAATTTTTGGGCTTTGAGTACAAAGGAGAAAAATTGAGCGGTACACATCAGTTACTGGTCTTGCATTTCCAAAACAGATTCTTTTTTTGGAGCCTTGAAGAGGGAACTAATTATGGACTCATTTATTTGTTAACACTAACTTTTGAATTTTGTACTCATCTGTGACCAATGTGTGCAAACGTAATTTACAAGATGAGTGCATATTTCAAAGGTCAACAAGAAACATCTTGCTGCGTTTCAACAAACATCATTATGGACCCACGTAATCAGGACATTTTTTAAAAAGACAGCAAAGTCAGCCAAATAACACAAACAAAGTCAGTGTGGTGACTCCAGCTGACAGTGTATCTTCAGCAGAGATGCTGTGCTATGTCAATGCTAAAGTCATATTTGCTATGTAAGACAACAGATATATTGAATCTTTCCGGAAAGGTGCATTTCGTAACAAGTAAGTAAGGGTTGCTAAAACAAGAATTTTAACGCATTATTAGTCTTAAAAGTATTTTTACAATCAGGAAAGCATTGTTTTTCTTGCCAGTTGACCAATATTAATGTGTAACTAATGGCTTTCAGCAAATGCAACGGGACTCTCCACAGAAAAAGAAAACTTTTGGTTTCTCTGAATAACGGTCTAGTGATTTGGCCTACCAGTGGCTGGAGATTAGGGTGGAGCAGCACATATCCATTGGGGTCGATGGCAAAGTAGTAGCCATTTGGTCCAAACTACAGGAGAAAGGAAATAGAGAGGGAGATATTTGTGAAACTAAGAACAGAGGAACCCAGGGACCAAATAAGATAAGTACTTAAATTGGGTTAATTTATGTAGTGTGTGGTCTTACTGTAAACCGCGGCGTCAGTCTTTTGATATCTTCCAGGGAGACATCTATACCCATAACTCCCAAGATGAGTTGGTTTTGAAATTTCTGTGCTTTCTGAGACAAAACCATAGGGGAAAAAAGAGTCACGGTAAGACCCACTTTTGAGTCCTTGTTGTTCTTTCTGGATGAATCAAGCCCCTCTGTGCATTCTGAATGATTTCAAGGAAATGGGTTGCAATAGAAATCTGGAAAGTCTCATTCCCAAAAGCTTTACATGCCTCCGTGAGTCACTGACAAGGCATTTCCAGCCTTCGTTTCCAGCCATAGTGTAGGTAACCCTGAGCCTGTCGAGATAGACATGTAAACTCATCTTGAAGCACTTAGCTACCGGATCATTTGTCTCTCTGCTCTGCAGGTTTGATCTCTTTTTGATATTTGCTTTATGACGTCCCAGATTCTCTTCCTGTGGAGGCACGTGGGAGAGCTTTGAGGGACCTCAGCACCAACAAAGGATATAAGGAAGAGCCACAAGAAAGAGGATAAAAGTAAGGAAAGATAATTGAGACTATTGCGGTATGTTTATTTTTTTTAGTCTGGTAAACATTATGGTGTGTCATGAAACCGCAGACTTCAATTCTCCCATGGGGTCAAAGTGTCATACATACAGTAAATTTTGTCAGTAAAGTCAACGGTATACTAGATGAATGCGACAGAAGACAGATTGGGTGAGTGGACCAGGAAACAATCTGGGGAATGAGCATATATATCATAAAAAGGTAGGACTGACAAGAGCGTCTGTGAAATAAATTAGTAAATTAGGATCTACATGAAGTGAGTGACATGAGAATCCATTTTTGCCTACCTTTGAGCCTGTGTTGGTCTTGTTGAAGACAGGCAGAGTTCCAGTGATCACCAGGCCAAGCTCCTGGAAGATGAAACATACAACACATGACGTTATGCAGGGCAAAATAATTGTTAATGGCATAAATTCACAGACTACTGATCTGTGTGATCTGATAAATTAATAAAACATCAATAAAAAGTTGTCCAACACTGACACCACTCATATCTCATGGGTGTCACTGGGTCATTTAAAAAACCAACAGCTACAGCTTGAAATGATCCCGTTTCCAATAACAAAAGGCAGAGACATTTCTGGTAATGTCGAGGTCAATACAGTCCCAAAAGTTGACAGTATCTTATCAGTAAATGGATGACAGTATCCAAACCAGTTGGCTCAGTTTACCAGACTGGTTTCTTATCTACACTGTCGCCTAAAAGTTAATCTTGACAGAAGCTTAGGCACCACAAAAAACTGACTGATGCAGCATTTCTGTCTGTTTCACAAACACTGCTGGAACAGAGTTGAGGCTGAGTTTACCAGGATGACAAACAGCAAATGTTTAGTATAATTAAACTAGACTTATCTGAAATGCTTCATCTGACAGAAAACAGATATCTTCTTATTCTTGCAGAGCTCTACATTTGACTACAAATGCCACTGTCTTTTCTCACACTGGTCTTGAAGTGTGTTCTGTCTTTGTATAAACTTGTGTGCAATCAGGTGTCTGTTATAACACATACCAGTGCGTCCAGATAGACGTTGGTCCACTGAACCTGCTTTGCCTTTTTGTTATCCTTAACCATAGGCCTGCCCAAAACATCCAGGTACTCCTGTAAAAACAAAATAAAACTTTGAGAGAAGGACTGAATTTGCTACATGCACATCAGTTAATCCACCACAAGAGGGAGTAATACACAACTGGTTAAGCTGGAGCTGGGGTGAAAGACATGTAAATTAGTGAGTATTCATTGCAAATAAGTGGAGCCATGGTAGTGATGTATGGGTGATTTTTAGTTTACCTGAGTGTTGATCCTGATGGCACCTATAGAGGGGATCTCATAGTAGTAACCTGAGACAGAGATATAAGTTTATTCTAGCATCCAGTCTGAGAACAGAAGCTTTATTTAGATGAGACCCAACTACTGGAAATCAAACAGCTCAGGCAAGTACAGAACCTTTTATGTATTTAGCTAGACAAAGCTGCCACAAAATACTATTCTTGTATTGACAACCCATCTAACCCAAATGAGAACTGCAATGAAAAGGACCCAAGTCCTAATTTTGGTTGAATAAAACAAACTTTGAGATTAACTTAAAAGGGCCATTCTGTAGAGTTTTTGATCATGTAAAATGAAGGCATGCCCACAACAAATGAAATATTGAAACATTTTCCTTATATTACTAATACAGTATAGAAAGCATTATCAACTAAAGAAAAGGTGTTTTCCAGAGCACCCGAACCTGTCAATCATTTCAAAGTAAAACAGTTGCACCCTTTAAAGTATCTTTTAAAATAAGTCTCTTCCTCCTACAGTAGAATACACATGAGACATCTGATGAGCTGTGTGTCACATGGAGACCAAAGCTCAATTGCAACGTCATACCTTTATTAGTGCAGGCCATCCACTGTATTGGTCCTTTGTCGTAGTTGTGTTGACCCACTGAAAATGTAAAGATGCGCACCTGTGAGGAGAAGAAAGTCAGTAACGGACAAGATTCATGGTGAAAAGCAAAGACTGCTGTATTATACTCTCTGAACATTTTGTTTACAGTCCTACCGCTTGATTAGGGTTGTATTTTTTAAAGATCTCCTCTGCTTTCTCTTCTCCTCCGTCAGTGAAGAGCATGATAATCTTGTTACAGTTGGCCCTTGACACATTCATCTAGGGCATATAAAGGCAAAATGTTTGTATTTTAAAGACTATTCAACCAAAGAAAATGAATAAGCACACATTCTTATTGTTACAGGAAGAAGCTGCAGAAAGTGTTTGCAACAAGAATTGAAGTCTAATGCCTCTTTACACACATGCAGTTACAGAGGATGGCAAGAAAAAAATGAGCTCTTGTACAGACAAAAAAACTGCAATGTCTGGAACAACCACCAGAGGTCGACATATACTCACTCTTCATTACTGTTACGTTGGGATTGAGTTGCATGTGTGTCCTGTTTTCCCTCATTATTTTCATAATTGAATGAAACTGATAAATTAAATGAACATAAATTATATCAAACTGTTAAGTAGATTTCACAGGGTTTCATCAAGCCTCTGGATTGGTCTGCATATTACCAGGGACATTGTTGGATAAAATAATTAAACAACAGACTGACAGCGACTCCCTCAATGTCACCATACCTACCCCCGTCCACCAAACACACCCTTATGTTACCCACAGCAGATGCCAGACAGATGTTCCTCATCGCATGCCCACACACTGGCACTTTACCTGTGCGAGCTGCTCAAAGGCCAGCTCGAAGCCGCCTCTGTAGTTGGTGATACCCTTGGCGGTGATGTTCTGCACAGCATCTTTCAGCATCCTCTTGTTGCGGACGTTGGCCTGCACCAGGTTCTCAAAGCATGATGCATACGAGGCCTTGTCATTGAACTGGAGGGAAGAGGGAAGGAGGGATGATGGGAAGTGGAGGGAAGGCACTTGCACATATTTTCTATTAAATATGTGGCCTGTTTCCCCTTCGTTACGGAGTCATGCAGTGTGCCTCAAACATATAGGATTAAGATAAGGTATTGCAAGAGAAATTGATTCCATTTCAAATAAAATAAAATAACTAATGGCAAATGTTATAAAGTAAATAAATCTACTTTAATAACACTGTAACTTCTTGGCTTTGCTGTTGCAAAAATCTGTCATGTGTGAAATGAAATCAGTCTTAATCAAATCTGCACAGACCGAAGGGAGCTATAGGAGCAGAAGGAAGGATTGGCAGGAGAGCAGGTAGGGATGTGAAAACAGTGGCATAAGGAGGTAAAAAAAAAACAAAACAAAGAGCTTGATTAAGGAGGGATTATGCCATAGAGACAGACACTACTGTAACTGGTTAAATTACATTTACACAGCTCTACATTTAAAGTGTCTTCAGATTAATATTGGTGAATAGTTAATGTGGAGGAACAGATGGAACCCTATCCAGTTCATGCACATACACAAATATAAACCTCACACACACACACACACACACACACACACACACACACACGTATAAACCTACACACACACACACACACACACGTATAAACCTACACACACACACACACACACACACATACACACACACACACACACACACACACACACACACACACACACACACACACACACACACACCATCTATGAAGGGCTGGGACATGGCTCATTAATACCTAACATCTGTTTTGGCCTGCAATTGATCATGTTCAAAACACACACACAAACACACACATACCTATACACACACACACACACACACACACACACACACACACACACACACACACACACACATACCTATACACACACACTAAAAGATGCATGCTTTTACAATGCTTTTATCATTTCTTGCAACACAAATCTGAATGTCTGCACATACTCAACACTGATACACTATTTTCTTTCTTTATCAACATTCGCTTAGTTTTGCACAGCTGTTACATGAGTGAATTGTACCTTTTGCTTGAGATCATCTAAAAGTCTACGTGGAATTCTCAAGCTGAAAAACAAAGATCTTACTGTGGTTACATAAAATGTCAAATATGGGTGAAAAAAAATGGCACTTGAAAGAGACTTTAATCTTTGTACAATGACAAGGGCAGCTACAAACACAAGTCATTTTTGCGATTTTAAAAGATAATCAGCACATTTAAGTGAGTTGTCAAAGAGGTTTGTGTAATAGAGGCAAAGTAGCCCAAATATTCCATCACTCACAAATCATTTGCAAAATAAAGAGAGTGGTTAACAGTCAATGATAAGATAATATGAAACACACAATGTAATCTAAGAGCAAAGAACAACACAATTCTTATTACCGCTGCTATTCTTTCTTCATTCTCATTGGTTTGTGTCTTTAGAACGCCAAAGGATGCTGCAGCTCACAATGACTGTTTCCAACTACTCAACATGTTGGCGGACGTCTCAGGGCAAATACTGCCAAGACATTCGTCCTCTAAACAGACGCACGCCTACACACTCGCTAATATAAACCATGGTGAGTTAGAACTTCATCTAACTTATAAAACACATCTTAAAATATCTCAGACACAGTAATAAAAGCTCAGCAGAACAGCATACTGTATGTGGGCATGTTATATATATATATATATATATGTATGGTTTTAGGCTGCAGGCTTAGGGCAGGCTGGTATAAATAATAGGTGGGAAACTTGGGTGGTAGGTATCCCAGTGGTAAGAGAAGCGGACTACTAGCCCAAAGGTTTCCGGTTTGAATCCCTGGCCAGATGGTTGTCAGAGTCAAGATCAGATGCAAGTTCTTGCCAATGTGCCCTCAGGCCTCTGCAGCTTTGGCTGTGTGTTTGCGTATGGGGTGTTTGGATGTGTTTAATGCAGATTAATTTCCCCCATGGGGATTTAAAAAGTACTATTCTCTTTTATTCTATTCTAAGAAGAATTTGAAGCAGGGAAATTAGTAGGCAGTGAAGAGTTTATGATTTGAGTCAGTCAAGAGAAGATTGATTTACCCTAAAATTGAAGAAAAAATCCCTCATCCGGATTTTAACATAATCAACTCCATGATATTTCTTCTATATTTAAAAAATGCAACAGGGCTGGCAATGCATTTGTTATTTTCTGTCAAAGAACTTTTATGAAAAATATAGATGGATAAAAATGTCTCACTCTAAGGTAACAAAAACACAATTCCTATATTCAGGTAATTATACACTAATGAAAACCTACCTATAAACAATCTATTCCATGTCTGCCAATAGATCCTCCAACATGTTAAGTTTTTCCATTCATAAGATTTCCTTTTTTTGAGAAAACTCTGAAAACCAACTTCCTCTGAACTCAACACAGCTAACTAAACTCAAACAACAATCTGACATGTACTGCATTTTCCCTGTAATTAGTACCAAATTGCCATAACATAAAATAAAGCATTTAGTTTAGGTAGCTTATTGAGAGCCTTGGCGGTAGTTAACTATTGGGTTATGACATTTTATTCACTTTCTCTGGTTAATGAGTTGTGTGTGTGTGTGTGTGTGTGTGTGTGTGTGTGTGTGTGTGTGTGTGAGTGTGTGTGAGTGTGTGAGAGAGAGAGAGCGTGTGTGAGACATCTCAGGATAGTCACAGCAATATACTGGTATTGAGAAAGGAAGCATAAAGGATCATTTAGATATACTGATTTGCAGATATGTACTTTATAGGCAAAACAGACATACTGCTTACATATATTCACTGTAAAAACACACACACACACACGCACAACAAAGCTGTTGCTTGAACTGTGCCCTGTGTTTTATGTGTGCTATATGTATGCACCCCACTGCTGCATAACCTATTGGCCCACTCTGGACAAACAAAATTAATGATTGATTGATTGATTGATTGATTGATTGATGTTGTAACAGACCGCACCATCAAAATGCTTCTGGAAGGTCTAGAAACTGAGCCGGATGCCATCAATGTACTTATTATAGTGCTGCCTGATTTCATTACCTTCAAAAGCCTTTTCACTTAGCTGATTTGAAAGCTCCAAACAAAAACATAAACCACTGCTTTATTAAGGTAAATGAAAGAAAATGTGATTCACGGTTCATTTGGAATGGAAACTGAAAAAAGTAATTTGTGCTCCCTCCCATTAGGAATAAGGACGAGAGGAGGGAAATAAAGATTAAGAAGGGAGTTTCAGATAGAGTGCAGGCAAATCCAAGTACATGATGTATACTGCGCCAAAGATTGGAAGTAACTCGAGTGAGGCACTTTTAAAAATACACATCTTTGGCAACTTTATAACTGTTAAAAAAGGGGCGAAACTGGCATTAATGGGGGAAGAGCTGAGGAGGTTGCAGCCACCCGTATGCTGAAGATATGCAAATGATTTCTAAAAGGAAAAAACACTGGTGATTCATGCCTTTATAGATGTAGGCTAAAAATAAGTTTCGAAAGTGACATTTGGTAAAAAGGGAGGCTTTTATGTGTGGAATCCATCAAAAGGCTTACAGCAGTAGTTCGAGATCTTAAGAAATACACATATTTGCTTTCTTGTTGAGAGTTAGATGAAAAGACTGATACTACTCTCTTGTCTACGCTGTAAATATGAAGCTACAGCCATCAGCTAGTTAGCTTAGCTTTGCACAAAGAATAAAAACTGGGGCAAACTGCTAGCCTGGTCGTGTCCTTACCAATTTCCTCTTAATATCCCTAATTAACATGATATATCTTATTTATTTAAACCAATAAATTAATAAAAAACATTTGGAAAATTATTTTTAGAGGGTTATTTGCCAGAGCTAAGCTAGGCTAACTGGTTGCTAGCTGTTGTCGTATATGTGACAAATACGCGGGAGTGGTATTGATCTTCTCTCGTCAAGAAAGCGAGTAAACATATATCCCCAAATTTTCCTTTTTGCCTGAAAAGTTTGACATGTATGGCTCAGTTGTGCTTTTCTTCCTCCTGACAGCACGTAACGGTTTTCAGTGGTCGCCCAGTTGACCCCTCCTTTGAACGTCTATTGGGGCTTTTTACATCGGAGGAATGTTATTTTGTTGTGGTGTAATCTAATTTCTCAGAGAGAGGACAAATGCTGCTGGCTAAGAGGGTGAAACAGTGACTCTTTGGCAGCAAGAGTGACTCTTTTTCATTTCTTTCAATGTGTTTGACACTTTTTCTCCTTAGTCCAATCAGATAAAACCAGCGGAGGAACCTTCTCTGTGTTACATTCGGTGTAAACAAAGAAAACAAAAAGGGCAGTTTAGTAGTGGTTAATTCTCCTCACTTCGTTTCACCAGAGAACCAAAGTGTGTTTTTCCAGATAGCTAACAACATTAGCCAACTTACATAAGCTACGCTCGCTAAGTGACGGACAAAAGCAGGTTTGTGGTTGCCTAGCAACAGCATAAAGAGCAGTGCTTCTGAAGGCTCAAAATCCAGTTAGAGTGATGCTCTTCACATTTCAGTCCTGCAAATCATGTCCAGTGGGATTGCCTCCAATGTGTCTTGTCGACTACGAACTAATTCCTCCAACAGAAATAACCACTTTTTATTTTTTCCACAACTAATATTGCTAGGAAGCCTGAATCTACCTTATGCAGGCAGCTATGAGGCTTTAAACAATGATGGATGAGTATTTCCTCAATACCCATGTCAGTAAATCCTTTGATGCCACAGATTCCTGCAGCATGTCAATTAGGTGAGCAGGGGCCATCACATGCTACTGACTCAAAGTTTGGGTCATAAATAAAGCACACATTCATTTGTCAAACTTATCTTGTGGCATTTCAGGGTTTGCTCTAGCTGTTTCATCTGTTCGCTCTATTAGGCACACATACTTCGATTCAGCGCTGATGGTCTTGAGACATGTCTCTCAAACATACCCCTACATAAACACACATGCACACTCAAATACACACACACACACACACTATGTATATATATAAATATACACAAACACAAAGATACTTTGAGTCAGACAAATGAGAACATGCATGCATCCATGAACATGTGCAGCCACAATAAAGATTCATCCATGTATGGCACATTAAGTCACTCAAAAGGTCACTGCCAAGTTTAAACCAATGACTCAAACCGAACTACTCAAACAACCAAGCCACAAATATGTCCACATTAACATTCAGCAAAGTGCGCACCTGGAAATTCGATACATATACAGAAGCATAAGAACACCCTAGACAGGAATTTGCAAATAGATAGAATAAAATAAATACTTTAAGTTGAAGTGAAAGGGGAGTATTTCTAAAGCAAAAAGTAGTATAAGCCGCATTTATTTCTATTGGTGTTGAAATGAAAGTATTAGCTGATGTGTGAGTACTCACATAGACCACGTTCACGTAGTCATCGTCAGAGAGGGTCTCCAGCATCTTGCTGACGGATGTTCGGATGAGTTTGAGGGTGAGACCCGAAACACTGCCACTCCTGCAGTTTGGAACAAAGATGGTCTGTGTTTTACAACTTAAATCAATATCATACAACAACAAAGAACTGGTCCACTGGTTTAAGTGGACATTAACATGTAGGAACGCGTTTTATTGAACCTCACACAACACAGGCACATAGCTCTTTAACTGCACCTCTTCCCGCATGCTCCACTTGTGCTCTCGTTTCTAATCTAAATCAATCTGGGTAATTCAGCTGATTTTCTATAAGTTTATGTCAGTCTTCATCTCTGTCCTCTCCTCACTGTTACCACCACAACCAAATAAGAAACTTGAAAGATGGACAAATAAACCAAAAAAAAAAAAAATCTAATTTTGCCCTTTGATATTTTGTGTATGAGACAACTGGACCTTTTGCCTGATCAGAGCGCTGAAGAAGGCATCAGTGGCAACTGACACTGCCATCTTCAAAGCCTTCAGGGCAAAACAACTATTCATGAGCAAAGAGCAGAGAAATCAGACCCCATGACTACAAGCTTCTTCCATTAAAAAGCAGGCTATATAAATAAAGCATTTTCCATCACATTTACAAAAATTCTATCATTCGTAATCTTCATTAATGACACAAGCTGAGAGCCATCACCATGTCTCAGCTAATGACTTGCACACAAACAAGCATAAAATGAATAATAATCTTAGTGTTCAGCATTGTCAACTCTAGACTACTCTGATAGTTTTCTATATTGCACTGCATATCCTGCACTGATGCATCTATAAATACACCACTTACTTGGTTCCTAGAAGAATAGAACAGGACAGAAACTGGAAAAAGTAGAGTAGAGTTTCTTGAATATTCTTTTCACCAAAGCTTTTAATGTCTAATAAGCCTCATTGATCCTCTGTGTCCCAATTACCAGAGCTGTGTTAAGAGCTGAAAGTGGACACATGTAGTTTTCATTCATCATATTGTGTTGTCATTTAGACGTGGTTCTGTGCCATGAGTGCCCATTTGTCATGAAACTCCACCTGAGTGTAAAAATTCAGAGAAATCACTTCGACGCTGCAAGAATACCCTCATAACTACTCTCTTTCTACACAAAACCCTGCGGTGCTACGTATTAGGGTGTAAACTATGCACTTGTGGATACATATTTATGTTTATGCAGTTCTATATATCCTAAATTGGAAAAGGTTTTTAACTCGTAGTAATTACACAGAAAAAACACTTAATTTTGAAATGGATGTGAAATGTCCATGTTTCTTAAAAGCGATCTGTAGTTCTATCATTTGATCAAAGAGTGAGCTGCCAACGTAAGACAGATATTGAATCCTCTCTGAATATGTTAGCTCTTCTAAACCTAAACTTTTAAGGCATAAATCACAGGAAGAAACAACTGGACTGTAAATGATGAAGTCGCTCAGTACACCGACTGCTTTTTGTTAGTCATTGTCGCACGAGTGCCAAGTCAGCCATGAGCAGAGCACAGTAGCGCCCAGCGGGGTGAGGCCAGTCAGCGAGTTAGCATTGGGGCCTTCTGGCGCGCAAAATAAAATAAAATATGACTGTAATAGATGAATCATAAGGTGGTCACTCACGCATCCACCAGGATCAGCATGTCCTTGGGTGACGCCGCCCCCTGAATGTACCTGGTGAGTAATAACGGACACACACACAAAGGTCATGAGGCACGTAACGAGATGTACATACAAACACACACACACAGACAGAGGCAATTATCATAATGCAGAAATGCTTTTTAAATCAAATTTATAAGGAATCTACACAACACAAAGTCTTCAGCTCACATAACAGTTATGAGACAGTATATTTTGCAGTCTCATCACTCTCGTCTCTCTTTGAGCAAGTAAACAAATATCACTCCCTATCATTTGCATTTGGAATCAATCAGGCCTTTGTATTCTTTAATTAGCTCTCTTCTCCCATTTCTTTAATAAACAAACAGTTGTGTGTCTTTGTTCAGAGTTTGAGTGCTCAGTCGCCGATGGGGCTTTTGAGGCTAATGAAACTTAATAACATGGTTAAAAGTGTACTGGTGGCTTCCAGCCAAATTTTAATCATTTTGAGGAGACTAATGAAGCTTTTGTATTGGTACCCTTTGATCTGCAGTGGCTTAATCATCATAGTGCTCTGATGTGTTTGTTTGAGTCGGTTTGGCTTTGGTCAGAGACCTGGATTTGATTGTTTTAAACTGTGTGTGTGTGGATGCTCTTATGTGTAATCATGTTTATGCAACATGCAAATACGTTTTTTTTCAAATGAATGTCTAATATGACAGCTACACAGGTAGATCGAATGAGCCACGTGTCTGCCTTTGACAAACACTAGAGAATGACTGACAATGAGATGATAAGAGACAAAACTGCACATCCCATAACGAGTGTCTAGACTCACCATGGTCGCCTGCGTACATCATAGAGGTCGATCTTATTGGCTGAATTGCTCGAGTTCATCCAGGGGGATGCTGGGATTTTGTGAAAGGAAAAAAATAAAGAGAAGTTTACTTCACAGCTTGGGTTAGCAGAATATCTGCATCAGTGGCTGTTTTACATCTATATTTTATACATCTAAATATAAGTAGTGGTTTAACATGGAGGTACGTGCTGGAACTATGTTTTGGCGACCAGCAGCCAGAGAACCAGTAAAGACTTTGAACTTTTGGACAGATCGTGTCTCTTTCTTGGGCCCCAAAGCCACATGAAAGAGTTGTGACAAAGTGTATGCTTGTGTTTGCATGCAACATGATAAGTGGCCCCTTGGTGGAAACTTTTGTCCCCATCACTGAACACAGGAAGGTCAGCAGGCCACTGATGTAACCCTATTGGCTATTGGGCTGCTCACCTGGGTAGTACCGAGCCATTCCGGTGGCAGAGCCAAACACCTGCCAGAGGAGTGATGGATCTTCCTCCTTGTTTTTCCGGAAAACCTCCTCCAAGGCCTCTGTCCAATTTAGCTCATTCAAAATGATGGTAGCTGGGATGCACGCAAACACACACACACACACACACACACACACACACACACACACACACACACACACAGTAATATTAAATGAGTCATATTTGTACAGAAGTAAAAAATCACAAAAATCACACAAGCACAAAATGTCAAGGCTTTTCAAAAACCATTTACTCGGAAAAAGCAATTCTGAAAAAGGAGACACCCTGCTTGACACACACGCACACACACACACCTACATACACACACACACACACACACACACACACACACACACACACACACACAGATTTGCCAGTAGTAGACTACTGACATTGATGGCTGAAAGGAGGCCTCCTCACAGATATTGAAACTGACGTCAATCTGCTGTGATGAGATGTTTTCATTTCTTGTACTTTTTTTGTTTTTTTTACCCCACACAAACACACACACACACACACACACACACACACACACACACACACACACACACACACACACACACACACACACACACACACACACACACACTAAAATCTACAAAGGTGGTAAGTGAGCAAAAGAAGAGGAGAGAGGGGTGAGAGGAAGGCAAAAAGAGAATGATTCAATTTGATATTTCAGGAATAAGACAAAATCATCTTCCGGGTACTCAGGGGACAGACATACAGTAAACGTTTTGTTTACCTGTTTGTCTGCCGGAGCTCTTACTGGCTTAATGCTTCAACAATCTAGTTTGATCGAAAAAGGCAGCGCTCTGCCCGGGAGAGTGGGCTGCATGTCAAAGTGATGCTGTGCATGACTCATACTTGCGTGTGTGTGTGTGTGTGTGTGTGTGTGTGTGTGTGTGTGTGTGTGTGTGTGTAGATTCCCCCATCAATTTGTGTGCGTGCTTTTGTGAGAGCAACTGGATTAAAGAAACAACAAAGAACAAAAGAAAAAAGAAAAAAGAAACATCAGGGAGAGACAGGGAGCAGGCAGGAGGTCCGGGGTTTTGCTGAGGCATGAGTCATACTTAACAGACAACTAGAAGCTGCATGGTTAAAAGTGAGTTATGGCGAGTTAGTGTGAAGCACCTGTACTCGTAACTCAGTTGGAAAATTAAATTGACAACTCAGCAGGAAGAGAAGCATGGCGGGGGAGAAAAGGAATTTAATTTCACCCTTAGCACTTGACTGACGCATCTGGCTGAAAAAAACCAGAAAACTCCACAATCAAATGAAAACACACAGACATCACATACACACTGTAAGTCAGCGGAAATCAGATACTAGTCAAATAAGATACTAATCAAATTTAGTAACATTGAGAAGGATCTATTGGTAGAAATGGAATATAATTTGTCCAGCTATGTGTTCATTGTGGTTTCGTTACCTTAGAATGAACTTTTTTTTATCTACCAGGGGAGCTGGTCCTCTTTTACAGAGTTTGCCATATTGAACCAAATTTATTTATAACACATTTAAAAATAACCTTTGTTGACCTCAGTGCTGCACAGACCAGAGCAGGTAGAGAAAATCACAATCAAGAGAAAGAAATAAAAACAAACACTGACATCAAAAATCGATGCATACAGCTCATACGTACAGATTCCACTAAATCTGTACTTTTTAATATTATAAAAAGTGTCTTTGAACAATTATATTACCACTCACATGCCAAATAATTAAATTTCCGAGAACCCAGGAAACTTTTGTACAGAGAGTACTAGCCTGTTTTGATAAAAGTTCCACCAAGAAAAAAATCAGTGTACTATTTTAACGAAGTAAATAAGCAATGTCCAGCCATGAAGTCTAGAAAAATATCTCTCACCCACCCACTTCTCCCTCGTTTTCTCTGTTCACTGCCCTGTGGCTCTCACGCTCCCTCTGGCTCCTCACTCTTTCGCCTCCTCACAACCCTCTCCTTTACCAAGGCTCTATTTCCATGTTTTGTAGGATAAAGAGAGAGTTTAGGCCTGGCCTTAAATGGCTCCCTGGTGTACTGTAGAGGGAAGCGTGTCCCAATGATAAGTGGTGACAATTTGTTCAGGCCTGATCCCTCTGCTCCCCGAGGATGGCCCTTAATGGATTAGTCCTGCTGGTTTCCGAGACATCAGTAACAAGAAGTCTCAGGGTAACAAGACCTCATACAGGAACCATTGGTATTTTTCCCCCCTTACTGCTCGCACTGAACAGTGAACTAACAAGGCAAAAGCATGTTCAGTATTTCATTTGCCCATCAGCTGTGACTGCAGGAAGGCATTGCAGTCACTAACCCAGAGAGAGACAAAATAAATGACGGCGAGTGTGTCCTTACTCACTGTGTCTTTAAAATTGACAAACCCATTATAGTTTCCCACAGGAATTTGGATGCAGACACACATCACACACATGAACACACAGACCCAAATGGGCAGGTCTGGCACCACTGATGATCCCTTAGCAACTATATCAAGGTGTGGCAAGGCATTGTCCTCTAATCAGAGCCACATACTGGAACAAATCACACTTTCAGTGTAAACAGATCCATCTCTGTGGCGATATGTCTGGTGCTCGCTCGAGGTCACCATGATGAGAAGAAAGAAATGAGAAGTATCACCGCAGCAACGCAAGCTCCGGTCAGCTCTATTTGTCAGGAGTGGCATGACGGCCTCAGGGACATTTGGGGGGTATGATGTGTGTTTGTGTGTCTGCATACTTAGAGCAACAAACATGGGTATTACCGGTGCCTCAAAGAAAATATGGATTTTGAAGTGTTTTTTTGTCAGGGTTTGAAAAAAAAAATGACACAACATAATGATTAAACAGAGAGAGAAAAAGATAAGTAAGGAAGCCACTGTCAGCCCCTCAATGGGCACAGGTTAAAATTAATTAGATGTGTCATCTTTCATGAGTGATATCAACAGAAGGAATGAAGTGCAGCAGTATTTTTTATTTCTACCTTCACCAGCCTAACTTTAACAATAATGGCTGGGTCACACCTGAAAGTGTCTTTGCAAAATTTCTCTGTGCATCCTGGGGATATATGAGGTGTTAGAGTCTTGGTGATATTAGGTAATACTCACAGGGTTTGTTACTGTAGTTAAGAAGGTAACAGCTTACACGCTAGCAAGTCAGGAGCATGTTGGTCAATGAACTATGCTATACCATGTCAGTTGCACTTGCTACATGTCAGTTTATTAAAACGTATTTGTACTACCCTCTTATGTGGATGGTTATTTTGACAGGAGCCTAATTAAAAGTGGATGCTGCAACATAGCTAATACACTTGGTTCATTTTTGACTTCCCAGGTCCCTAGAAGGTCACCACTGTATAGATGGCTTGTTAGTGGTCAATGGTGCAAATTAGTGTGGCAAAATTCACCAAAGTGGAACTTGCGCTTACCCATTTGAGGTTCGTCATTGGTGTTACACTGAATGGTCGCCCTTTAAAAACAACTCAGAATGAGGACTGAAATAAAATTGTTTCATATGATAATACATTCAACAAAGATGCCCAGCCATGTCAGCCTCATAAATCACACTATTCAAACATCACATGGTTAACAAGTCAAGACAAGTGAGATAAGAAAAAAAATGAATCATTCATGGGGTGAAAAGACATGGGAACTGAATATGGAAAAGGAAATACTAAATATTCCCTGTGAGGCATGGAGATGCTTTCAAAAACAAATCAAAAAGGACTGTTGGCAGTGACTGATGAGGGTGATGACGGTGGGAGGAGGTGAGGGAGAGGAGGGAAAGCTGCACGGTGCCATGCCAAGTGATGCCCTGTGGTGTTCCCTGTTATCAGCTAGCTGGTGGCTGAAACCGCCTGTGCATTTGAAAGTAATTACATGGTGGGGCTGAAGTGGTGAGAACCTGCAATCATCATATCAGAAGGGGCCCTATACTCGATGATACTTCGCCGTTAACTACTGATTGTGACGTGACGACCAATGCATCCCTTTGCAGGCATCCACACAGCACTAACATCCACGAAAAGCTTCTAACGCACATTGAGATTATCGGTCACATGAAGACTAGACACCCACATACAATGTATCTTTCCACCAACACAAACATAGGACAACACACTGGACACCCGGTATTTAAGCATACGGTGTATGGCACCCATCAAAACATTGGTTCTTATTATTTTCCATGAAAGCCCACAAGACACGCCACTCTCCCACATCCCAGCATCAACACGTCAACTCTCCAGAAAAACAGCAATTTAATCACATTCACATCCAAGATCCATATAACTCAGCCACTATACCCTGATACAATACTAAGTCCTGCAGCGTTGCACTTTAGAGTAGCAGGCACCTTGAAATCCCTCCATAACACATATTCTCACCATTTGTTGGTCAAATAAATTTGTGTCATTAATTAATGCTTAATTAAAAAAGCTTTAAATTTGGATGAGAGGTTGGGTGGAGAGATCTGGGCAACAAGAGGACTCGGGGTGACAGGACTTCATAAATGAGAGGTGAACTTCAGCTGTGTTACATTCATACCACATGCAAAAAAAAAACTGCATGGTGTTTGCCCAACACTGCATGGGATTAGCATAAAGTGGCCGTGTTTGCAAAGGGGAGACGTGTGGGTACCCATAGAACCCATTTTAATTCAGACATCTTGAGGTCAGAGGTCAAGGGATCCGTTTGAAAATGGCCATGCCAGTTTTACCATTTGCATTTCCACTTTGGAACGTTATTCAGCCCCCTTTGCAACATGCTAGCATGACATGGTTAGTACCAATGGATGTGTTAGGTCATTACCCCTGATCACGCCCCTGATGTCAACAGACTGAAGGTTTTACATCCAGTTATTCCTGGCTGGGATGGACTCAATCAAGCTTTACTTAGTAGGGGTGTAACGGTACACAGAAGTCATGATTTGTTCATACTTCGGTTTAGAGGTTGTGGTTCGGTGGGGAAAAAGGTATACAGTTCTTTTCATTGAATTGTTCCTAAACAACTGATTTAAAGAATGCAGGCAGGTCTTCCCGGCTCCAGAGTTTCATTTGCACTAGCCATAGCGTTACTGACTTATACACCAATTAGCTTGTTC